ATTTAAGATAGGAGTTTCGTATTTATCTATTTTAATAGCATCTAATATGTCTTGTTGTTGATTATAAGTGAGGTATGACTTCCACCATCCTTTTAACTGACCTGAAAATCCAACTATTAGAACTTCAGCAATAGCCCTATCTTGTATATGCCCTTGTGTTCTATAGGCATTGGCGATCATAGTCATTTGTTGTAATAGAAGTATGATTTGATGTTCTCTTAAACCATCAAGATTCCAATTGTATAAGGAGGAAGAATTAAAACGAGTTTGAGGGACAGGCTGAAATACAGAGGTAAGAGAGAGTGGTTGTGCATCCCAATTTATCACATTTTGATGTGAGGAAATGACATTTAAGCGAGAAGATGATGGTGCATCAGGAGCATATTCGGCACTGTTGGTGCCTATGCATGAAAGTTGGGATTGAAGTTCTTTAATAAAATTGGATTTTCCTTGTATAAGAGTTTGTGTACTTTCTTTGGAGATTTGGAAAGTCTTAAAGAGAGGTTTTTTGGCAGAGAAAATGTGTAGATTTGGTTTATACAGTGTTGTGAATTGTGTATCTAAAATATGAGATTCAATTCTTTCCAGTTTTTTTCCGATTGTATTTAGATAAATGTTGGTGTAGTTGGTTTGACCAATTAAATTTTCAATATTGATTTTTTCATCCTCATTAACTTGCTTCAAAGGGGCAGTGTTTATTTGTTGATCTTTGATAGAAAACTTAAAAGCTTGTAGAGGTGGATGATTAGTATTAAAGGTTTTTTCGCCATTAATTATTTCCCAAGTAGGTTTTCTTTGTGTAATAGGATGAAGAGTTTTTTGAACTGGATAAGTGGTTTGATAGAATTCAAACAGGTAAAAAAGGGAATTATTGTTTTAGTTTGTGAGATAAAATTATAAAATGATGTTTGTATTTGATTTTTATCATCAAGAAAGTTTTTAAAAAACCAGTTTCCTTTTTCATAATTTTTTGGAGAATAGAATTCATTATGAAAAATTGTTTTATCTATTGAAAATTATTTTTCTATAGTGTTCAATTCGTTAACATTTTCAGTTGTTGAAGAAAATGTAGGACTAGTTGGTTCGTGTAAAAGTTCATTGTCTCTACAAGTGTAAATAGATTTAGATATTGATGAAGAGAAATTTACTTATTTTAAGGATGAAGTTGGGATATCAGAAGTGGAAAATATGGATGGTTTAGTTGGACTATTTAGTTGGGAAACTCTTCCTAAATCAATGGTACTTGTATCAAAATATGTAGAGTTACTCTCATAATTATAGGATGATTTTGGGTTTCTGTGAAAAGAGAGCCGAACTTCTCCACTGCTACTTTGGGATATAGTTTTAAGATGAGGGTTTGGAGTAAGAAATAATGGTTTTTCAGGTTCAACAGCGTCTTCTAAAACCCATTCATCTGGAAGAGAGACATCCTTCCACTGAATAGATTTTGAGACTACAGCGTTAGATTTGCTTAAGTCTGTTTGAAGAAGAAATGTTTCTCCTCTCTTACTATAAAATTTAACTTTTGTAGCAAAAGCTGATAAAATGGCTTTGTAGTAAATTCTGTATACTATAGCTACAAGGATGGATCCTTCTAACATTTTATAGTTATGAGTTTTAATTTGTAGTACTAAGGATTTTAGTACATTTTTATCACACAGAGAGATTGTCAGATTAGGATAATAATCGAAGGATATGGGTCTTGTGCATAGGCTAGATTCAACTGAACTAAGAAGAGATTCATCAAAGTTAGTAAAACGAGCATCTCTAAGTACTGCAAGGATTGAAGCATCAAGACTTTCTTTTGTCAGTGGTTTTATACCAACTTGGACTAACCCAATATGTATGTATTTATAACCCTTAGAAGAGTGTTTATCTAAAGAATTTTGTGAAAGTAAGGTGATTGTCTCAAAGGGTTTTGATAATTGGATATCACTTTCTTCAGTTTTAATAGCTAAGTCAGTGGACCAAGAGAGGAATCTAGAGGTTTCATATATTTCATTTTTTGAAACCCTTGGTATGGTCCAATCATCAATAGATTTGTTAAAGTTTTCAATAATAGTTTCTTCAGAACGGACTAATTTTTTATAACTAACTGAGCTATTTGTGGACATGGTAGAGAAAGATCGTTGAGAAAAGGAATCCATAAGAGTTTAAATGTATATTTCAAGAAAAAACTTACAATTCTAAGGGTGTAAAGGACATAAGGCGTACCTGGCTGGTCCGGTTACCCGTCGGCAAATATCTCGGAGTTTTCCTATTAAACACAAATGAACACTAATGAACATCTTTTACATCCCCCTTGGCTCTGATACCAAGAGTCCACAGAATCAAAGGATGTAAAAGGATACAAAGTACGTAAGATTAGATTAAAGAAGAAAAAATTAGTGTTAGTGGTCTGGCCTTGCCAGTCCACAGGGGAAGGGATGTTAGGTTGTTAAAATTTAGTTAGTGGTCTGGCCTTGCCAGTCCACAGGGGAAGGGATGTTAGGTTGTTAAAATTTAGTTAGTGGTCTGGCCTTGCCAGTTGCAGGGGAAGGGATGTTAGATTATTAAAATTAAGGTGTTAATATGTAAGCATTACAGTCTTGAATCAATGTTTTTGTGGAGAACATTACGGTCTTGACTTAAGCTTTCCAATCGTATCGGGTTGACATCTTTTGAATAAACTGATGATTTATCATAATGACTTTCTTAAAAGAACAGACTTAGACTTGATACAACTTGGACAGACATATGGTTTATACACATAGACTAAATTGATTAAGACATATAGACTCACAAAGATTAACAAGTAAGAACTTTGGAACACTCAAAAGATTACTTGCCAACTCGTAGCTAGTTACGCAGGCTTCACTAGAACGTTGCTGAATCTAGTTACTCAGACTTCACTAGAATGTTGTTGAATCTAGTTACTCATACTTAACTAGAATGTTGCTAAATCTAGTTACTCAGACTTCACTAGCATGTAGAACACTCTTAGCCCTTCAATACTTCTGGAATTCAGAAAGGAAATAAGGACTCTCTTCCTCGCTCCCCCTTTTTCTTGATGAAATGAAGGCCCTTATATAGGAGGAGGCAGGGGTCTTTCGGCAAATGAGGAGGGACTGAAGTGAAAATGTCAGGAGGTTTTTGTCCTTACGCGGAAAGTGGTGGTAGTCTGGGTCGCCATCATTCCTTATTTGGTAAGTTGGACCTGTGATCTTTGTCGGCCACACTTCATTTTCTGCCCGGTGGAACCTGTCACAGTATATTATATATATATAATATATATATTAGTGTATATATTATATTTTTCAACTTATTTTGTATTTAATCACGTGTATAGAAAAAAAACTGCCCACGTTCTACTGCACGTTGCATTCAGTTGCAACAAACTATTTATTTGATTATTTATTTATTTATTTTTCAAATAAAATAAATTAATCAAATAAAATGTGGACATAAATTATATTGCATTGTTGGGTTATTTATGTCGCACATTTTAATTTTTTCTAAATGTGGAATATTGGCCTTGCTTGGTTCGGCCTGGGTGGTCCTGCGAATGGCTTAAGGATTCCCTATAGCGGTGTCTGCCAGTATGCATTAATGACTAAGTAGCTGTGGGAGATGTTGAAGAAGAGGCGAAATAGATTCGTCACTCAATTGAGAACATTCGAGAATGAGACAAACTTGTCTTTGCCATAACCCTTTACTACGATAGTAAATCTGTTATCGGTATAGCATAAAGTACAATGTACAATGGAAAGAGTCGACACATTCGCCGTCGATACAATTCTATAAGATAACTTAACACAATTAAGGTTATTACGATAGACCATGTTGTGTCAAAAGATAACCTAGCGGATCCGCCAACCAAATGGTTAAACCGTGATGCAGTTTACAAATTGACTAGAGGAATGGGGCTCAAGCCTGCTGAGAAAAAAGTTTTATAAAGGAAAACCCAACCTAGAAAGATTGGAGATCCCAAAAACTAGGTTCAATGGGACAACCTACCTGTAAGACCTATGTGCGTCATTGTGGGGGATAAAAGCCTCAACCCATTCATGTTAACGACTTGTGACAATGTAGTGAGGATAACAAATAACTGCTTTAATGATTACTAAGTGAGTATTGTATTACTCGGAAACTTAGAAAGATCACCTATGTGATAGAGAAGTGATGCCGCTTCAAAGGAGAATTGTCCAGGCTCATTTTTTTTAGAAACTCTCGCAGAACCGGGACGGGTTCCATGAACAAAATGGTCCAAACAATGAGAACCGAACTAGACACATGAATTCTATGTCGGTATGTAGCCCACTTACTAGAAAATTGAATAGTTCAAGGACAACGAGTCCACTGGACAATTGGTAAAGACAAGTTCAAAGGAAATCATAGTTATCCTATGCAAAATTCATCTTTCTTTCTTTCATAGAATCATCGTTTTCCTCTTTCATGTGAGGGATTGTTGGGTATTTAATTAAATAGGTGAAAGATAAATAAATTATATGTCCCACATTTTATTTGATTGATTTATTATATTTGAAAAATAAATAAATAAATAACAAAATAAATAGTTTGTTGCAACTGAATGCAACGCGCAGTGGAACGTGGGCAGTTTTTTTTTTCTCTACACATGATTAAATACAAAATAAGTTGAAAAATATAATATATATATATATTATATTTTCCTCCCCTTTCCGATGGAAGACGTAATATCAATTCCAATAATTCATTCTGAAATTTCTCTTCCATTCTAATTCGGTTTGCGGAATATGATATTCCGTTGATAATTCGTTCTATCCTGGGAGGCGATCGGTGGAGGGCCGAATTCGCTTCAAGGAAATTGCGTGCTACGCGATGCTCGAATTTGGTTTCACATTCTATATGTCTTGTGCTTTCGGAATTTAGCCATATCTCATATTTCGCCCAAAACTATTTTCTAACAAATATATGAAAATTTTTACTTAGGGAACTATTTGAAAACAAACTTCAATTACGATACTAAAATGTAAAGGGACTAGTTACCGGACTAAAAAATGGTTTACTCTTTATAAATATAATATATATATATCCATCTAAGTAGCCGGGATAACCTAGCCCTAGTGGACTCACTAGACTATCATCAACAAATAGTTAGTAAATTCTTAGCTAAAAAACGAAAGATATGATAAACCCGTAGAAATATAATGATCACCCGGTCACTTCAATCTATGAACGAGGTTGTGAAGAAAGAAGTGCTGAAACTTTTGGAAGCAAGCATTCAGGTGTGCCCTATAAACAACAACAAGTGGTCAGTCCCTTTCAATGTGTAGCATGAAAGGTGGCTTTGTCGAACAGAAGAATAAGAAGCAAAATAACACATGCTGATAGTGAATAGAGAGTTTGCATTGCTTACAAAAACTTCAAATCAACAACTCACAAAAATCACTTCTCACTCTCATTTCTGGACCAGCTTCCACTGTAAAATTGGTGCTTATTGACCAGTTTGACAATTCTTGCAATCTCTTAAATTGCAGCATTTCCTGTTTATTCATAAAGGAGACTTTAACCTGAAGGCCTTCAATCCCATAATTCTCTCTATCCACCAACATTTTTGCTGCTGAAATGGCTGTCACTGCTCCGATGTTACGGATTTCAAACACTCTTAGACCTGGAATGTCTCCAATTTCCAAAGGAATGGTCAACAGATGAGAAACTCCACCAACTTCATCACCAGACACAATTTTCAGAGATTTCAGACAGCAAAATCCCATTCGAAAACGTCCCCACCAGCTTCCTGAAGTGATTCCCTTAAGTTTGAGATCTTCAAGATTAGGCAAAGAGGCCACTATGTTCATATCAGCTCGACGAAGCTTAAGGTTGTCTAGACTCAACTGCCTAAGAGAGATTGGAAAAGAAAGACGCCGCAGCAACCTTAAGTTCTTACTTGTGTCCAGACAGAAGCAGATTTTCAATGATTCGAGCATCGAGAAATGATGGAGATTTGCAATACAATAATCTCCCTCTGTCCCGTCATATTTGATTTTTAGTTTCTTGACGCGTTGCATCCTCCACAGGACTTCAGCCGAGCAACTGAAATTTACGATTCTCATAAAAGTATGTAGGCATGGCAAGATCTGCTCGTCTGGTTTGGCTGTGGATGAAGGTGGATCGGGAAGAGAAATTTCACTAAATTCTACATGTCTGAGATGTTTCATATTCCATATTTCCATAGGGGCTGAAACCATACTACTGTTGCAGCAAATTATAGTCTGCAAACTCAAAAGGTTGGATATGGTTGAAGGAACTCTGCACACAGAGGTGGTGTGACATCCAATGTAACGGAGGTCAGCATGTTGAAAGATATCTTCAAAAGAATTTATATGAACGGCGTCCAATACATGCAATGATTTATCCTCTAGCTGCGGCAAATTACCACCGCTGCATATTAGAGTGCGGCACCTTAGTGGATATAAGATATCAAATTCTTGAGAGAGATGGTTCCCAAGAAGAATAACGCGATGCTCATTAAGGATGTCTTGTGGAATGTAATGATTTCTTGAGGCATACACGAACTTCTCTTCACGAGCAATCCTTAAGCATAAGTCACGTATACAATCATGAAGATAGCACGTTTTAAAGTTTCCTATTGCTCCTGATTTCTGTACTAAAACCAAATTCCAGTCAATGAGATCCTTTAAATAATCCTGACCAATCTCTTCCAAACTCTTGCTATTACGATCGGGTTCAACAAGACCCTCGGCAATCCAAAGTTTGATAAGTTGAAGAACACGAATTTCCTGATTTTCTAGAAAAATTCCCATATAAAGAAAGCATGGTTTCAAATGTTCAGGCAAGTATTTGTAGCTCAGAGATAATATGTTGAGGCAGCATTCGTAATCTTCCAAATTCAAAATGGAGTTCATGTCTCTCGCTACATCCTTCCAATACTTTTGAATCAAACCCAATTTTTTTAGAAGACTCCCAATGACAACAATCAAGAGGGGAAGCCCTTACATTTTCGAGTGATCTCTTTTCCTATATGCTCAAATTCATAAGGACAATTCATTCTTCCAAATGTTGTTTGACAAAGCAATTGCCAACTTGTAGATTCGTCAAGAAACCGCATCTTAAGGCCTAGAAAGCCATAATAAGTTGCAACACTTGATAGCCTACTTGTTACAAGAATTCGACTGCCTATGTGGTCATTTGGGAAAAAACTACTTATGTCATCCCAAATTTTCAAACTCGTCATGCCATCTAATATAATTAGATATCTGCGACCATGTAAATTTGCCTGCAGCAGTTCCCCCAATTCGTTCTCACTAACTAAACCCTCACTCTTAGTTTGCAATTCCTTACAAATAGGTATTTGCAAAAGAACATCTCGGACCGTGCATTCGTGGAACATTGTGATCCAAATTCGGACATCAAAGTGATGCAATACAAGATTGTTTTCGTAAATAGATCGAGCCAATGAAGTCTTACCGATACCGCCCACTCCAGTTATTGGAATAACCAGACATGAAGAATCCCCTTGAATGAGGCTTTCCAAGACATGATCTTGTTCAGTCTCAAGTCCTACTAAATCTCTCTTCCAGGATATCATTTCTTGATCTTCAAAGTTTCTCAACTCGGGAATCTCCATGACTTTCCTCAATAATGAGTTCAGATATTGTTTGACTCTTTCCAGCAACTGAATGTGTGAGGATGACACACTCCTTGATCCATAAACATGTTTCTGAATCACATAATCTTCAATCGCATCTTCTGCCTCATGAGCAAGAACCACAATTTGTCTCTCAATATTACTTGTTCCTTCTTCTTCTTCTTCTTCGATGTCTTCAAGAGAGTACAATTTCAGAAAATCGTGCAGAAGGCAGCCCATCTCCCCTATTTGATCGACGTGTTGCCTGTAAGAGAGTCCGTGCCTCTGGACGCGCCTGACGGCATGAATGAGAGAAAGAACAGCTGCATACGCAACAGCCATCCCTAATCCCTAATCTCTTACAACAATTCTATTCCTAAAACGGCGTTGACTCTTCGTTCGGAGAATAAATCTGAACATCTAAAAACAAAAGCAGTGTAACAGGCCGCAGACTGTTATGCTTACAATAATCAATTCGGTTGTCTTTGCTCTGGGATCAATTGAATTAAGTAAAGCTTCTGCAGGCTATTTAGAATTGACTGTACAGATCTCCCTGGGATGGAAGGTTACGTTATTCTCTGTCTCGACAATTTCAACTAGCTAGCACAAGAAGCTTGGTCGTTGTTGGGTACAAGGTCAACTTGACCCTGATACGATATCGCCTGTTTTAGCTTAAGCTGTACGGATTTATTTTTGGTCTTTTTTGAAAAGTCTCGTATTAGTAGAATTTATGTGACACTTACAAGGTGTAGATTTTTTTTTTGATTTTTCTCAAAAAAATCTCATACTAGTAGAATTTATGTAGTACATATAAGGTATAAATGTTTTTCAATTTTCAACATATGGGTTTGTACCCCAACAATCTTCCCCTCGAACCAAAAACCAACAAAATAGGCCTCCCCTCCAATGATATTTCATTGATTTACACACCTACCTTGGGCCGCCTTATTCACACCATAGGCTCCAATCACAAGGTCAATGAGGGCGAGGGCTTCCAACTACCACAACCAATGTCCTATATCATCCTGTTCACTTCACCAACAAACTGGACTCTGATACCACTGTTGGGATTGTGTCAACTCCATTCTACTTTACCAACAAACCGGGCTCTAATACAACTGTAGGGACTGTGTCAACTCAACACTAATATGATATTGTCCATGTTAGGCTGAATCCGCACAGATTTATTGTTGAACTTCCTCTAAAAGACTTCATACTAGTGAAGTTCATATGAAACATATAAGATGTTAAGATTTTCTTCAAATATTCGAATGTGGGACTTCGGTTCGCACCTCAATAATTTTTCCCTCAAACCAAGGATTTTTGCCCACAACCTACAGAGGGCTTCCTTCCAAAAACTCTTTGAAAGATCCGAAGAGTTTAACATGCTGCTCACCCTTTTGATAAAAGTTCGACTCATTCGTTCTCCCACCTCATTCTGTTGGGGTATATAAGGAACTGTTTTATATTTAATTATACCCGATTTAGCACATAATGAATCAAGCAACTTATTGTAAAACTCAAGACCATTATTTGTTCTCAAAAAATTTAATGCGCTTACCTGTTTGGTTTTATATTTACTTTTTTTATGCTTAAAATTTTCAAAAAAATCTTATTATTGTTCTAATAGAAAAATCCAAACTTTTCGTGAAAATTCAACAATTACCGACAGAAAGCAACAACTCCCTCCTTAAGTAGGAACATAAGTTGGACCCACACATCAGTATACAAATATTCAAGCACATCTTTACATTTAGGCACTTTGGGGATATGAAACAAATCAAATTTTACCCTACGCCGCTTACCATAAACACACGAGTCAGAAAAAATGTACTGTAGTAATCTTATTATTTCTAAGAAAACTATTTTTCTTTAAGATTTCAAGACATCACTAAGGTGACCTAATCGTCTATGCTACAATTCAGTTTTATCATTAACAACAAAGTTTACATTTGACATGCAATTTGGTTCATCATAAGCAACATACAAATTACTTTGTCTAATAGCCCTAAATGCAACAAATAAACCTTTTTAAGACTTTCATAACACAATTTTCTCTATTTTCCTATTAATCAACTTTCATCTAATGCAGCACATGAAATCAAATTATTGCACAAATCAGGAATATGCCTAACATTGCTTAAGGTTAACACATAGCCAAAGTCGAACTTTAGACAAATATCACCTATACCAATAACTTTACAAAGTTTTTTATTTGCCATTGTAACACTGGCATGCGAAATAGACCTATATTTTGTAAACATATTTTTCAAATGAGACATATGGAAAGTATACGCAGAGTCAAGTAACCACTCGTTAGCACATATAGCATTGACAACAGCACAATTTCGCTTAACCATGAAAATATCTCCAATACATCTATTGCTTATAGTTATATTAGCATGCTCATAATGTTGGTTTCTAAAGTTTTTAGAATGTAGACATTACTTAGCATAACGATTAAAGTCCCCACAATTGTAATATTTTCTGTTCTTAGGAATAGACTTAGACCTAGGTCTCGCATTAACCTTACCATGATTCTTTTGATTTTATGTTTATTTCTTAACCTATGACCTACTCCTAGCAAACATTACTCCATCAGTAACAAGTTTATCACTTTTATTTGCAAACAAATCAAGTTCTTTGTTTTTTAATGACAATTTCAAGATTTGTACTATATGTAGCAGACTTGATGACAGACTTAATATCTGAAAAAGATTCGAGAATTGCATCTAAAAAATACTCTCGTCCACTAATAAACTTTTCATTTTTTATTTTAGTTTGTCCAAATTAAAGCATCTCATTTTTTTTAAGAAAAAAGTAACTCTTTAACTAAATATCAAAATACTCTTAGGGTGTGTTTGTTTGGGGATTTGAATAGTAAAAATTTTAAATTTGAATAGTTGTATGATGTGATATAAATAGGTGATGATGTGATGTTTTGAATGTAAAACTGATTTTTAGTATAATATAAAAAATAAAAAATTAGGTATTTGATTTGATGTTTTTTGGAGGAAAATTTTGAATGAATAGTGGGATTTTGTCCAAATCTATCAAACGAACACACCCTTAGTGTTTATTTTTCACATTATTTTTCAAGGATAAAATGGATATTACATTACTTTATTACATTATATATCGATAAAATGCTAATTTACCTTAATCTGCGTACATAAGTCACTTGAAAATTTACCACCGAAGCAATATATAGGATAACGTTTTCTCTAGTTGTTGGTCTGAACTTATTAGACAGATCTATTTTCAACCATTGGCCTTGTCGGGCATTATTCTGGTTACGGCTTTCCCGCCCACTTGTGGGAATAAAATCCAATTCCAATCTTTGGCATACAGTTCAACTCGTGAAATAAATTCAGCTTTCCTCTTAATAAACAGAAGTTGCAGAGGGTTGTCTAATAACCTGTCTCCTCTGAAACAAATTGCGATCACTGTGAACCGTTTTCGTCTGTCCTAAATTATACACTTTAATCACATTTTAAATTTTAAATTTTATAAAGTTTTTAATTTTAATTAAACTATATAGTCAATTTAATCTTAATCTATAATTATTTTTATTATACATTAATTATTTTTACTAATACACTTCTTAATTATTTTATACAATATCTAATACACCTAAATTATGTGGGACAGATAGAATAATAAATAATAATAATAATAAGAATAATAATAATAATAATAATAATAATAATGTTGGTAATTAATTCTATTAATTATTATTTTCTATTTACGTATAAATTAAAATATATTTCTATCTTATCAATAGTAAAATATTATATCCATCAAACCATACAATCATTGTAACAATTATTACTTTCAAAATTCTAAAATTCTTATCAATAAACACTTTTCTAACTTCAAAAATTACTTTTTTCAACTTAAAAAAATTTAAATCCAAATTCTTCCAAACTCCAAAATTGCATACTCTTTCTTGAGAGAATGTATTCAGAGCAGACCATGTGCAGTGGTAATCAATGAAAAAATCTGAATATAGTACGTGGAGGGTGAAAGTACTTAGGCCATCCGCATCAATGAAACCCAACATGGGTTTCTTCAGCCTCTCTCTTCTCTTTCACGTCATATTCTTTCTCTGCCACAGGAGAAATTCATTTCATTTTATACCTTCAGCAAAGAAACTCATTTACACAAATTTTAATTTCTTTTTCTTCCATATTATTAAATTATATATTTTTAAAATAATTTAAATAATAATAATTTTTATCTAATATACATATTTAGTAGTATTTATTTATTTAATAATTTAATTTATAAACAATAACAAATATTTATTATTAATGTGACGTGAAAATTTAATTTTATAGTACAATTTTTTGTATTTATGTGTTTTTAGAAAATAAAATAAATTATACTCCCTCCGTCCAAGCTAAAAGTATAAAATTACTTTTGACGCGGAGATTAAAAAATAATAGTATTTTAATTATAGTGGGTAGGTAGAAGTAGTAAAATGATATTTTTGCCTTTACTTTTTTGGTATAAAAGTAATGATGTGATGTAAAGTAGGGGTATTTAATGAAATAGTTACTTTGTAATTGGACGTCCCAAAATAGAAATATGTATACTTTCTGACTGGACGGAGGGAGTATTGAATAAATTATAAGATAATTAAAAAATTAAATTTTTATTATTATTAATTGATTATATTTAATTAAAATTTTATTTAAAAAAATATATCAATATTGGTATCATTTTGTAAAGAATAAAATTTTATAAAATATAAAAATATAAAAATTATTAATAAATATTTATATAATAAAAATACAATATATAAAAGATAATTAAAATTGAATTTTTTATTTTTATTTTTTGCTATGTGTTCAATTAAATTAAAACACATGGCAAGAATACATTTATGTCAGAATTTTATGGAGTTGCTGCAGAAGCAGTCAGCTCTCCAAGCTGGCACTAAAGAAAAATAATTTTTAATTTTTTTTTTTTTTTTTTAATCCGACGTGGTGTGTGGATGGTCTTATGAGTTTAGCAATCCAACCACAACAATCAAAATATGTTTTCCTTTATTTCTTATTTCCAAATCTCTGTATTTGCCTTTGTAGAGCTTCCTTCAAGCTTTATGCATTTAAATGATATGGATAAGTAATCTATTGCGTGTCGATTATTTAACTATAAGAAAATAAAAATAAAAATATGAAAGAAGAAACTTTCATATCCAATGAGATGGACACGAGAAACATTCTATTACATATGCTCATAGAATGTATTTAGTAGACGAAGAGAACAATCAAATAATTCTTCATTATGTTATTTTTTATTTTTGTCCCCCAAGAGATGACCTGGTAGTATAAGGGTTGAATTTATGTTATTTTCAGATAGCGGGCAGCTGCTGCCTTAAAAAATTTCTATAAAAGAATTTATTTTAATTCATAAAGTATGCACTTAAATACTATTTAAATAAAAAAATCAAAATTGTTATATAAATAATAATATAATATGGGTATATAAATATATGTAAGTTGGTAAGTATATTATATATATATATATGTATGTATGTATAAGTGGATGTGGTATGTATATGAATATTATATATATAGATATATAATGAAGATATATATGTATAGTAATAAATGAATGTGGATAGAGAGACGAAGGAGCACGCACAGGGAGAGAATGAGGGAATTGGGTGTTTTAATTCATTCCAAATAGCACTACATATTTATAGGAGGACTTGACCAATAAAAAACATCCACACCTTAACTACACATGCATACACACACTAACTATACAATATATACGGCTGCGTGTCTTAACAAAAATAAACAAAAACAAAATTGACTAACTAAATATACCAATATTTATTTGCTGAGATATCTCATACCATTTTGATTTACTATCTTCTTTCTGTCAATTATTTGGCCGCAAAACGCACCCTAGGTCTTTTAATATATTACTTCCTCTGTGCACGGAGTGTTAGACAGTGTGTAATTAGTAAATAATTAAAAATATATTAATCAAAATTATTATGATATAATAAAAATAATTATATATTAAAATTAAGATGATTAAATAGTTTAATAAAAAATAAAAAATTATTACTTTTAAAATAGAAAAAAATAAATTACCGGAGACTGATCAAAATAATAATAATAAAAGCACTTCACATTTCTTGGAGCTAATGTTTTATTATCACTGTAGATGTACGCGGAACATAAAAAAATTCAACAAAAAGAACAGTCGACAGACCACTAAACAGACAAACAAATAGACATCAGATTACTGATTGCTCCATTTATATAAAAAATTTTGGAGTTTTGATATTCTAAAGTTAATTACAAAAATTAAATATTTTGTCAAAAATACAAACATTTAATTTAACATATATTTTAAAAAAATTATTATTAATAAATAATGCTGAAACATTAAAAAAAAAAAAAAAAAAAAAAAAAAAAAAAACATATGTATATATACATGTAAAGAAAATCATAAATGACCTCTGAGAAACAACCACAGCACACCACAATGAGTCTCGTTATTCTCATTCTCAACCCCAAATAAATTAAACAACAAAGAAGTTAATATTGAACTCAAATGAGTGAGTGAGAGTACACACAGTAATAATAAATAAAACAACAAAAGTTGAAAAAATTGAGGTTACAAGGCAGGCAGGCAGGCAACAAACTCCTCATCCATCTCTATAAATTACAATTTCACAGCACAGCATCACCAAAATTGTATACTACTAGTTAGTACTCTCTCTCTCTCTCTCTCAATGTGAGAAGAAAATGAATAAATATGTAAAATATGATGTGATTATACTCAATTTCTTTGATAAAACAAAATATAGGCTTCGCAGCGAAGAACCTCTTCCAAGGAGGCCTCCCGCACATACGCATCACTTGCATGATACCAAACACAATCTCCCAGCTTCTTGGTGCCTCTTACGTATGCTATGTAGTGCCCGCCCCTCATTGTTCCCAAATGCTCTACCACTCCAACTAGACGGTATTTGAACTTATTATTGTTCTCGCTGCACCTGCCCATAAAAGTGGAAAGACATTTCAAAACTCAAAATTGTATTGAATTATTTTGCAGATGTTGAATAACCAGCCATTGGATCTTTACCAAAGGTGTTCGAATAATAAAACAAGTATACATGCACCACAGCTTCATATACTTGGCACTTTAACCAAATTTAAAACAGAATTACATACATATATTTATATAATAAAGCAAAAACAAATCGATGTCACATAAAAACATGAAATTTCCATCTAAATTATCATCTCCAGCTTAGTATTCACTATGAACAAAATTTGAAACAGTGGAAATATACTAAAAGAATAGAAAGATAAACTCAGTTTTATAAGGTAGTAGGAGGTGCAGTTTCTTGCCAGCATAAACTATTGTTATGATAATCGAAGAAAATGTAAGATAAATGGAAACCTATGATTACTAACTAGCACAGTATAAACACACATGTATAGGAAACCATCAGTCACAGCTTATACCGCACCTTGCTCCTGCATGCTCACCACACCTGAGGCAATCTGGAACATCTACCCCACTCACTAATTAGTTGCCTATGGAGCTTACGACCATAATGGAAATAGATAGGCAATGACATGACACATAGGGCTATAAGATGTTTAATCTTGGACTGTAGAGGACCGGCCCAAAACCTTTCTTATGAAGACACTTGCTATACTTAGACACACTTGAGGCGCGTACACTTTAAGTGCAATTTAGCTTGAGGCATTTCAGAAAAAATAACATATTATATACATATATATATATATATGATAGTTATTGTGCTAATTCATAGGCTAGTGATATCGTAGATCCAGGGAACTCTTGGCATCAGGACATGCTAGATGCCATTAATGAATAGTACTGACAACTTCACTACCATTCACACCCTTTTCCAAAACCCACCACCAAGGATGATGGAAGGACATGATGAAGAGAAATATAAAAGAGAAAGAAGATAGGGCAAAGAAAAGAAATGGGGGAGTTTTGAATGTAAAAATATAACTATCAATAAGGAGAAAACTAAGAGATGAAAGGGTACAAAATGAGGTAAGATGCATGTCATTGTATAACATCTTGAGCAAGCAAAGAAAATAGAGTTAATAATTGACATTGATGACATTCAGAAACCACGGAGACAAGCTGGGTATGACTAACATGGCTTATATAGTGGAGAGAACATGAGTTAGTCCTTGGCCTTTATACCAATAGCTAAAACATGTTCTACATGGACTTGTAACAAGCGTCATATATGAGTTACTCAAAAAAAAATAAAAATAAAAATAAAAATAAAAACAAAACAAAATAAAATAAAAAATGGAAGAAAGAAAGTAAGAAAAAATGAAAGGTATCCCCTCATGTGAATTATTGACAGTATGATAATAACCACCAACACATAAACTGGGTCTCAGCATTGATGAATTTAAAGCAAATAAGAGAACTTAAAAGGCAAATTGCAGGCCCCAAGAAACTAAACAGGCAAACTGGTTCCTCAACAGCTACTCAAAAACAAGAGTACAATACTTCAAAAACTTAGTACCAACTCTCATGGCTATAAATAACTATACAGTATATTTATCAATATGTTGGCAAGGGGGTTCCAACAGCAAATTAGGGGTGAAAACCTTCACAACAAAAAAAATGAATTCCCTGAAACCCCCTCCCCTCAACCAAATAAATAAATAAACAACCAAAAAGAGGAAAAGATTCCAACCAAGAACAGTAGAAAAGTATGGATCATCAAGAAATTAATAGAAAAGAATGGGGTTATCAAAGCGAACCTGGAATCCATGTATGGTTTCAGATCAAGTGTCTCTCTAAAATTCACATGGCCATTCAATTTACTCAAGCGTCCCCGAGCATCTTGGCTGAACCTCTTGAGATGGACCGTCAAGATAGGAGGAGACTTATTGATAAGTATACTCTTAGTTGCATCCCTCTTCACCTTAAAAAATTCTGAGCTGGCTTCATTTGGTCCGTTTCCTTCTGATTCGTACTTTCTAGAGTCAAGATTGCGATTGGAAACTCCATGCTTATCAGAGTCACGATCTCCATGACATGGATTAAGTTTTGCATTACCGAATGGTGGTGAACATTCTACAGTGCCAGGACATTCATTTTTCATCTGAGGTTCTGCACCTTCTGAATGAAACTCAGCCATATTTATTCCATCTTCTGAATGGTTTCCAACTATGCATTTCCCATTCTCATATTTCCTTTCATTTTTTTCCAGCAACATACCATCTGAAAAATCAGCCTCTGTTTTAAGGTTTTCATTCATAGTTCTCGGTTTGTTGCTAGCATCCACCAAACCATGTAAATTTCTATCCTGACAACCATTTGACACAGTATCAGACATTGACATTTGAGTTTTCCCTCTCAGTCTATTTCTTTTTTCTTGCAAAATTTTTGAGCAATTATCACATTGCCAAGCATGCTCATCCTTAGAAAGAAGTTCTGGTTTCGTAAAAAGCGCCAAACAACTCTCAATAGAGACAGGAGCATCAGCATTATCAACCTCATCAGGATCAGAGTCACTACAATTTCCAATTACTTTAGGTTTACCATCATTGCCATCAGAATGGTCCAAGGGCTTATGGTCTAAAGAAATATCAGGTTCATTGAATAAATCTCCAAATCCATCAAAGCCCAAGTAATCTTGCTCATCGCCAAGTGCTAGAGATGATACATCAAGTTCAGTTCCCAGTTGCTCACCTGTAGAAGCATCCCCTTTACTTGGAAGCAACCTAATTTCAGAATCCTGAATCTGTGAAGGATGCTCACCATCCCTCCCGTCATTCTTGGCAAGTACAGGAGATACCTCATATTTTGATTGCAATACATTACCACTAGATGAAACACCTTTCTCATTTGGAAGCCCACCATCTTTATTATCTTTAGAATGCTGAACATTTAATGTCAATTCATTATTCCTCCCTGATGCATTTGAATCTCCAGTACAAGCTTGTTTGCATGATTCCGCGATTGGTTTTATCTCAGCACCGCAGTGGAAAAGTTCCTCATGGGTTGAATTTTTTGAGGGGGTTTCACTCAACTGCAGCTTTACATCCTGAATCTGGGATGGAAGTTCATTGTTCCTAAATGAAGCATTTGAATCTTTGGAGCAAACTTGTTGGCATGATTCATAACTGTAACTTAAATCGGCATCATAAAGAACTTCCTCAGAAGTACATTCAGCAGTGGTCATCTGATCGCATTGTGGTTTTGCATTTTGCTTATCCTCAAGTTGGCACATAACTTGCATTGGTACACCTGGTTCAAGGGAATTAAACTTTTCAGCATCATTAAAGGATGATGCTGAAACAGCATTTCCCAGATCGTCATCTGTACTATTCAGTGTTATAGACAAAGGTGTGTCAGCTGGAAGAGAATCTTGATTTGTAAATCCCTGGTTTGCTGAAACTGCATCAATTTCAGAGGCTACATCATCATCTTGTGAGACTGGATCTGAGTCAAGGAAATCCAACCATGCAAATGCAAAGTTATCGGAAGAGTGTGACTGCTCCCCAGCATTCTGAGCCGTTTGTTGATCTTCGGGATTTTGGATAGATGAAAGATCCTCAGCTGCGAAACCCATATCAAGAGCTATAGTATTTGGATCAATAGAATCTGAAAATGTAGAATCGCTCAGAGATAGCGTCAATAGATTACCTGGTGTTGCAGTAGGTAGTTCCCCTGAAGAATTTTCACTGGTTGATCGAACAGAAGCGCCATCTCCTCGTACAGCACTGACTTCTTTGTTGATTTTAGAGGTATTCTTTCCACTTCTCTTTGGAGGCAACTTAGGTTTCTTTCCTCGAGTAGCAGGTTGAATCCTTCTTGCTGGAGGCTTCTTTGTAGGTACTGGGAGTGAGAGATCCAGAAATGGTTCATAAATAGTAGATGAATGCCCGCATTCCAAACAACTAACAGTACTAGACAGTTTTCCACCAAATACAGCATCAACAAATGTGGGATCTGTGTTTGAAACATCATTAGATTTGGTGTGCTTTCTTGCACTCAATTCTTCAGAGGACAAACCATCGAGCAAGCATCTAAGCAACTCATGACTATCATGCTGCTGATATCCCCGGAATTGCGGTGCTTTAACACACAGGCTACCAAACAATGATCTAGGGTTTATTGCACTTCTGGAGTTTGTTTCGGAACTGGTTTCATGGAAAAACTTTTTTATAGCAGCACTTAGCGGACCAAAAGACTCATCTAAGTTGAAATAGTAGTCCCTGAAGCTATCTATAGCTAGTAGATTCTGCATGATAGAATTAAAAAAGCATGTATTTCCCAAATTAACTAACCCCCTTACAGAAAAACCAGCTCTCTCATTTGTATCAACTCCTAGAGAGTAATCTAATTTAACCGAACTAGTCACACTACCACTTCCAAACCAAACACCTTCAACATCTACAGTTGATCCCCCACTGGTCCGACGTTTCAGTATTTTATGAACCTCATTCAAGACATCTTTATGTTTACAATCATCAGAAATTTCAGCAGAAATCAGTTTACTGCAGGAAAAACACCAGAGTAGTTGATGATTTTCATGATGGATCACCAGAGGATGATGGTTCTGTTTTGCATGTCGAACAGCATGGCTATTCAGTGTAGTTGGTAATCCAACACCTCCACATGAGAAATGTCCACACTCCAAACAAATCCAAATTGCTTTCGACTCAGATTTTGATTTACCTTGTTTACCTTTTCCTTTCTTTATTCTTCCATCAACACTTCCCCGACAATCTTCACAAGTAACAGAATCTGAAGATCCTAATTTGGTAGAAAGTTTGTCCAAATTGATTCCTTTATCAATATGAGAACATGACCCTCTATCTTTAACATCTGAAACTCCATTACCAGGGGTTTCAGCAGCTCTTGTGTCTTTTTGGACAGCTATTTTTGGAGATGCAGAGGGACCCCTTTTCCCTTTCTGGCCACTTCTTGCTGCTTTCCTCACCTTTTTGCCCATTTTATCTACAGAGTATCCAGGAATATAGAAAACATAGGACTAGATTACATTTGTACAGATCTTTGTCCAAAATAAAACATATATTAATGTCTCCCAAAGGGCAAAGATGATAAATCAACCAAACAAATAGAGACCAACAATAATCAACAGCAGAGAGCATACTACATAGATATAAAAGAATTAAAAGAGAAACCATGTAGATAAAATATTTAGAGATATATCAGAATGAGAGGTACTACACCCAGCATTAATCTGATGAGAAACGTGCCAGATCAAGTCAACCATTGGCATTGAACACACAAAAATGCCAGATAGTAAACAGTTCACTATCTTGATATTAAAACAACAAAGTAACTGAGGGAAATATCTAAGTCGTAATGTTTCTGAGGAATTTTTCAAAACATTGAAAGAGATCAAACAGGGATCAACGTGTCGGCATTGATCAGGAGGGCGAAAAAAACTTCCTAGTCACTGGGAATAGCCATGTCTTCATTTTAAGATATTAAAATTTTGCAATTGGATTAGTTTAACACAGGAAGAATTTTGTAACAAGGCATTGATAAATTAAGTAATGGGTGGCTAGCTTTGGAGTATAGGATCATAATCCATGTGATTATTCTAATTGATTGGAGTTAGGGGAATAAATAAAAATACTATGTTTACGATTATAGATCAAATATAATGATAGAGGGCAGGAGCAAGGAGAGGACAAGGTTAAGATGGAAGTGGTACAGGAGCCTCGGCTGTGACGAGGATAAGGATTAAGGACGACAAAGACAGGCTATTTTACATTATTGGATTATTTGCTATGACTATTGCTTTTATTCCCAAAATACTCATCCTAGCAGCAATTGCATTGCTTTAACTAACTACCTCAACATAATTTTCTTATTTTCCCCAGAGAGTGCTCAAATTTGTGAAATATGAATCTACATTATTTTGATTACTTGTTTTAATATCATCAGACTGTTAAAACCTTTGAGCTACAATCACCCACGTCTGAAATGCTTCTTCGTGTAGGATATAATGGAAACAATTCAAGGTGAAATAGAATGAAGTAACCAAGCAATAGGCGAGAACACCAAAAACGGCCAACACCGGATTCTAATAATAAAGATATCGATCTACTTTAAGCTCTGGGCTTTCTCTAGTTTCTTGATAAAATCCATCAAGAAAACCGTTCTTATTCCAGATCAAAAGAGCTACTAAAAATACCCTCTCGTTCAATTAAGACATAACTAATTTGAGCAAAGACAGAGTTTATTAGCTGTTCTCAAAGATCACTTTTTTACAACATGATAATAACTAAGGTTGAGCTTATGAATCAATCCTGTGTGTAAATTTACCTATTTCTTGTTGTGACTGTGTTATCTGTGATGTTCATTTTTCAAAGCAATATGAGTTGGATTTCAGAGGAAGAGGGAGGGCTGCTGCAGGGCTTCAGATCTAGAGCTCAATCAAAAACTTCCAATTAACTTTAGACGGAGTAAAAGTTGTCTAAGTACTGATGGTCGAACAGACGAATAGAAAGCAAATAATTCTTCAACTGGGAATATTTAGGGAAGTGTAAAGGTGCTGGAAAATTTTTCATCAAACGAATTTCTAATATTGGGGCCAAGCTTATGCCCAACACAAACTAAATATCCAATGGACCCATACGGAAACAACTACACAAATCAAATTCAGAACAAAGAACTGTGGCAAAATGCAACCATCACACACAGTGACATATAAACACATCTAGCTGCAAATCAATTGAAAGAAGCATTCCAACGAAAACAATCAAGCAGAAGTAGGGTTATGTATGTATATAATAGGATGCCTTCAATTCGACAGCACATCTTCAGAATCCAAATCAAAAGTAAATATTTAGAATTAAAAATCACTAATAACATCGCAAAAGGCCAAAGTTTTTCACAAATGTTACACAAGTAATAACAATAACTATAATATACTGCAAAGATAAACCCTAGATTATACAACAGAGAAGGTGATTACCGTTCAATTGCAAGAGCTGCAACAGGAGTGGCAGAAGAGCAAGAGGAGTTTGAGGGATGAATGAACGAGCGCCCAAAAGTAGTACTATCAGGTTGAAGAATTCGCAACGACTGGTAAAGGATGCATTCAGCGAATTGAAGTTCGGATTTGGCTCTGTTAATTCATCTACCTGCGGTTCTTAGCAGGAGCAATAATCCCGTCCCACTCCATACCCAATAGCACCAACATGAATTTAATTTGATTTTATTTGAATTGCAGAACCGGCTCCCTCAGATAAGCTAAAACTCCACTCCAGAAATTGCTTCGAAAGAAGTAAGATCCTGCAACCTACCTACCTCTGTCTAGCGTTGTACAAACCCTTGAACCGCCAATCCGCACCGACAGAAATTATAATTACACCAAGTGAAAGTGAAGTGAATCCAATCCAATCCAACCCACGAAGAAGAAGAAGAAGCAGCAGCAGCAGCAGACAGCTCTGCCAACTCCGTCGCTAAGCAGAAGTAGAGAGTAGGCGAAGAGGCAGGCGATTTCACCGATTGTAAACGGAGCCCTTCCCTCCCTCGTCTCTGTCTCAACTCCAATTTGGGCCTCATTCATATTCACTTATTATCCAAGACCCAAAATATTATGGTCGGTTTTAACTTTTAACATTATTTAATTTTTCAAAAGTATTGTATCAACTAATTTTTATTTATTTATTTATTTATTTTTTATTTTATATTTTTTTTTTTTATAGAGGAGATATATCTCATTTGTAATGACCTTCAATATATTATCTTTATTATTATATACTTAGATTGCATAATAACGATGATAAGAAATGTGACTTTACTTTTAAATAGAAGTTTTGAGAAAAAATTTAATTTAACAAATTAAGATTAATTTTATATGATTGATGATTCAGAAATAAAACACTACAAATATATCCCTCCCTTCTATTTAATTTGTTTACTATTTTTATATTTTTCACATAAATTATCCATTTTATTTTTTAGAAATATAATTATATACTTTAATTATATTTTAAAATTTATAAATTATATATATTTTTTATTTGAATTAAACTATTTAATTATCTTAATTTTAATATATAATTATTTTTATTATATCATAATTATTTATACTAATAAACTTATTACTTACTAATAATATAATACCTAAAACTCTGTGTCCCAACTAAAATGGATAAATTAGCTGAGACCGGAGCGAGTATTTAATAATAATAATTTAATTTTATGAATATATTAATATAAATATAATTAATATATATAATTTTAAAAAAATAAAATTTTATATATTAAAAAAATAGAAAATATTAATTTATTATTAATACCAATCATTTAAAACAACATGAGTTATATATAATATATTATTATATAATTATGTTATATAATATTTCTTTTGAAATGATTCATTTCATTAGTAATATGATATTAAAGATAATATAATTTAATAAGTTAATAGTATTGAATTAAGATATTATTTGATATTATTTTTTTTTATGTGAGTAGTATTATTTTAGTTTTAAAATAAGAATTAATATATAATTAAAATAAATTTAGAATGTGCGTTTAAATATGTTAATTCTAAGGATTATGTTTACATTTTGTGTCATTGTACTTAACATTAAAAATATCCTTATATTTTATTATTTTTACAATTGTTTCTTAATTTGTATTATGTTTTGATATAATAATACAAAAAATAAATGGGAGCCTTAGAGCCGGATAAAGATAGTATCATATTTTAATAAAATATATACAATATATATTATTTTATAAAGAATAAAATTTTAAATAATAAAATAAATAAAGTATATTTTTTTGTTTATAATTAAAATAAACAAATTTCATAAAAAAGTTTTAAATATATATATATATAAATATTTGTTTATTAAAGAGGTGATGCATGATGTTATATATTATCAAATTAATTAAATTGATTTTTTACTAAGTATATTTCAATTTAGTCAATTAAATTGGAAAAAAAAAAGTCAGTTGAAACGGGTTAAAGAAAATATTATAATAGTCCATCTCTCTCTCATAGAAGAAATGTCTTGTTGGGAGTTGGCATTAGAATTAAAGAATATAGTATTTAATAGAAAGTTTGCTTTTTAAAAGATTTTAAAAAGTAGATTAGAGTAATAATTAGGTATAGTTTAAAAAAGTAGAAATAATTCTATTACGAAATGGGGACCACAGTTACTAAATAAAAAAAATAAAATATTTGTTTTGAAACAAATGAAAATAGAATAATAAGATAACTCTTTTAAGACGGATATAGTATTTAATAATTGGCCCATTCAAAATGACTATAGATCATTTTGGCCAGATAGATATAATTTGCTCCGGATGTTAAAAATGCATAATGCCGAAGTTGGCCAAAATACTATCCAAACACATGACTATACAGACTTATGGTCTTTTTTAGAAATTTTACAGAATTTATCAAAAGTTTGTGAGTTTTATTTATTTATTGCAATAGATTTTTATATGTTTAGAAAATTTAGTAAGTTTATGTAGAGTTTGTGAGTTTTTTTTTATCAATTTTAATAGATTTTTAATAAATTTGATTGCATTATTAATTGATTTATATGAATTTCGTAAGATTCTAAAATAATTTATTTTATTGTTTTATATAATTTGTATAAATTTACAACAACACATTTGTAGATAATAAAAAAAATATTCAAATTACTAAATAAAATATCAAAAATATAATAGTTGAAAAAGTCATTGTATTATTCATTATTCTTATTATTTTAATCTTTATTCCTGTATCTTTATTTCCATCACTATTACACATCAGACTCATTTCCCAAATAGTATTAGCAATATTCATTTTTTCATACATTAGCTTTCGTTCTTTGTTGCAGTTTAATTTGAGAAAAAAATTCTAAATTTTCATCTTTCATGTCGAGATATGAGAAATCTTGATCTTCATATTCGACTGAAAATTCATCAAAACGGCATTCTTTTCGAAGAAAATTATGTAATCCAGCACAAGCTAACACTAACTTTGCTTGTGTTTGAAATGAGAATGAATGTTTGGTTTTAAAAATTGTGAATCATAATTTAAAAATACCAAACATTCTCTCAATCACATTTCTTAATAATGTGTAACGAAGATTGAATAGCTCACTTACATTTCTGGGATGACGACTTTCACCATCAAAATATTTTAAATGATATTGAGCATCACATAATGGAGCTAAAAATTGACACTAGTAAGCAAATCCACAAGAAAATATTTATTTAAAAAATATTATAAAAAAATATATAGCTTGTCACTATGTAAAAAATATATATATAAAACTAATAAAAAATATGCTACCTTGAAGCATTTGAAGTCCATTTGTTCTTGATAGTGCATCACTTACAACTTTTGAGTGATGTGTCTATATTTTGCACCCACTAAGCGCATATATAAACTGCAAATCAAAGTTGCAAACAACCAAAATATTTTGTAATTGAACACCATGAAGGTTACATTGACGGCTTACTTCACAGTCTGTTACCTTTGTCGGAATATGAGTACCATCTATAGCTCCGATGCAATTTTAAAATAAGTGAACAGTTAATAAAAAATAAATTAAAATATTTCATTTAGGTATATAATATTGTTTAAAGGATTCATACCTTAAAAAAAGAGAGGTTAAACCTTGTGTTTTCTTGAATTTTAGCGGACATCCTTGTAGACAACTTAACCATCATTTCTGGTGGTATAATGTTCAATGTCTTTAAGATTTTTTTGAAGTTTCGACTAGTAGCAAAATGCGAACGACCAAATCTTTGGCGAAGATTACCATATCGATCGTTGTGTCCTACAATGATTAAGAATGTTGCCACCATTCCGTTTACACATATGTATCTTGTATCTTCCATATGAGTTTTCACACCAATGATATTGCATAACTTTAGAAATGCATATGGATACAACCTATATAACTGTCAAAAACTTTTTGAATCTCCTTCAATCATATCACATAAAAAATAATATCCATTTTTTTGTAATTGGTCATTGCTTCAAAGAAGCTCCAATGAGGTGAGGTATCATAGTAATAATTTCTAATAAAACTATCACCACCTTAATTGCCAACATTATGGCCTTATATTTTTGTAAAGTTCTATCTCCAAATTTGCATCTATTTCTTCTTCCAATATGTCACAAATTGTCATGCTTCATATAAAAATAGAAACATAGTAAATAAACTAATTAAACCACATTATAGATTATACAAATTTAAAAACTCGCACATTCAAATGTATACAATCTAAAGAAATATATAATTTTAAATAAAAATAAAAATACAAATTATTAATTTCAAATATGTATACAAAAGAAAGTCTTAAAAATAATCCTAACATAATAGTAAAAAAAAAAAAATCTTAATAGAATCCAAACAGAATACAACATATTATCTAGTATATTATTCAAATAATTATTACTCTCTAAATTTGTAAATTATCCAATTAGCTATTTCCGCAATAATCATCTTTGAAAATCCATCATTTATTGACTTGTTGTCAAGCAAGTCAAATGCCTTTAGTTTAATGTCTTCGTTTAGATGTAGGATCTCTTTGATAGTGTCTTAAGTTACATATATTTTTTCTCTTTTCTCTATTATAATATCTTTTTTCTCTAAGAGATAATGAACTTTTTCAAAAGTGCTTAATTGTTTTTTAATCTCTTCCATGAGTTATTTTTTAAGAATATTTTTAGTAGAACTACAATTTGCTTCATATTGATTTCTACTTCTTTTGGGTTGACTTCTTTTTTGAGCTGAGACTTCAGACACTTCAGGAAACTCTGAATATCGTGCAAAACTATATGATGGATCATTTTCAAATAATTTTACAAACATATCATTTTCTGCATCATAATTCAAAACTTCTATGCGTGCATCTCTATTTTCATTATCTTTCATTGTCCTTGCATCAGTAGCACTACCCAATCCAATGGAGTTTTTTTTTCTACAACAACACCATTTTTTACGGCAGTTGCCAAGTTCTCATAATCAGGACAATCCCCATAGCGCAAGTACACATCGTTTGAGTGAGCCTAGCATAAACAAAAACTAAAAATAAAAATATTTATTCACTATATTGTCAAAATAATATAGTGAATAAGGGATGGTCTAGTGGTGTAGGGGTGAACTTGTGACTGTGAGTAGAGGTTGCTTAATGCGACTTGCCTTGCCAGGGGTTTACCAAAAATGCACTCGTCGAGTAGAGGTTGCGGGTATGATGCTTATTAATTTTACCTCGAAGTACATATCTCATACTTCATCAAAGTTGTAAACTTTTTAGTATTTTTGTCATACCCAAACCAGAGCTAAACCTATCCAACAATTTTTAAACCATTTGAGGCGGCTTTGGTAATTTCTATATGTTTTATTACACCAAGTCTTTCATTAAGAATAAGAAGTATTCTTTCTTCCACTTTTTTTTTTTTGGAAAAAGCACAATTATTATCACGACATCCTCGAGCCGCAACATCAACCATGAGTTTTAACAATAAAACGTTTTATTCCCTAGTCTACTGTTCGTAGGGTGTTTTTCTTTTTGTGTCTTTTTGTGAATCCCCC